CTCTGTTTAAGCGCATTGCATGTGCGCACACAGTGCGATCGTTTACAGCAAACTGGATAACTGCAAACCCAAATGGGAGTGTTCTCCCGCCCCAGTTGTGGTTGGTTTGGTTGACTGGGTTGTTTGTTCTAACCTTATACACACGCTGTCCCTAGCCTTAGCTTTTAGCCGCGCTGCTAAACCTAGATTTCACATGCATTATTTATTCTTCTTGTGTTGCAAGTAAGTTTGGAAACCGCTGACTTTACTTTGCAGGACGCTTCTACCTCCCAAGAGCCATGGAGCACCTATGCTATGGTGAAAGCCTGTTTCATTTAACAGAACACTTAGCCCAGGGAATGTGCTGGAAGAGGTATGAGGTTTTCTCTTCTCAAAATAAAAGCTGGGTGGGATAAAACCTAGAACACAATCCCAGACTAACCGACCAGACTTCCCAGACAGAGCATGTCCAGGGAAAGTTCACTATTCCATCTGCAAGGACCTGCTCCTGCTGGTTGAAGTCAATGAGTGTTTTGCTATTGATTTCAATAGGATCAGCACCTGTCTCTCCCCTCCCCCGCCCCTCCTCATATGTATTGAGGCTTTTCTGCTCTGTTTGCACATAGACTTGAACAAATCGAACCGGGGGATTGTGCATTTTTTGAAGGGTTCCCATCATAAACCCGTCGGCTGGCACCTGGCTGAAGCAGTGACATTCCTGCAACAGGCCGATCGATCTCACTTCTGTGTCGTGGGCTTCCGCAGCAGAACCTTAGATGACAAAGCGGCGCTCTGTGTATGACAAACGTGTTTCTCCCTGTGGTTAAGTGTACTGACCACTCTGCCAGCGCCCTGTCTGGGACCCCGAATCCCAGAGAGTACATCCAGGGAAACTGAGAAAAAAGGGGGAGGGCTTGCACTGGGATTTTGCATTATTTCTTAGACCTTAAGTGTACTTTGATTTTAAAATAGGAACAAACATTTTCTATGAAGATCAGGCGACCTGCCTTTAAAACCAACCCCAGCGCTCCGAAGAACCCTGCTGCTCCCCTTCAATCAACGGCCGGGTCAGGGCAGAGGCATCTTTGCTCCTAACTGCCTTTGACTCCTAGGGCTACTTTCCTTTTAGTCTTCCAGTGCAGCACGCCTGCGCACAGTGTGCTGGTCCCATTCCTGGCAGGCGGCTTGTAAGATGAGTGAAGAAGCAGGTGGGGGGAGAGAGAGGGAAGCTCTGTCATTGAAAATAGCTCACTTTGACAGAAGCAAGCCAGAGAGACAACCCTGAATCTATGTCAGGCGCTGCCTACCTGCAAGGTGTGCAAAGATGATGGCCATGAACACCAAGCAGCCTTTCACTATGCACCCTGCCCTGCAGGAGCCCAAGTACTCCAGCTTGCATTCCAGTTCAGAGGCGATGCGCAGAGTTTGCCTTCCAGCCCCGCAGGTATGTAGATTAAGCATAATTACAGCTTTAAGGCACATTTTTGACAGGCACTTGCTTAATGTTTTTTTCATGTCGCCAGAACAATCGCATATCTCTGAACCTCTCTCTCTCTCCCCCCCCGCTTCTCTCTCTCTCACTCTTGTCTCTGATCCACATGTCTATTCAAGCAAAGCTGCTGCCTTCATATTAATTTTTATGACCTGAGCTTTGAGGAGGAATCTCTGTGCTTGGAAATGTTTTTTAATCCTGAGTTGACAGTATTCCCCACTGACTCCAATATGCGCATTCTTGCTTGCAGCTCCAGGGCAATATATTTGGAAGCTTTGATGAGAATCTGCTGGCCCGCGCTGAAGCTCTGGCGGCTGTGGATATTGTCTCCCACGGCAAGAGCCATCCGTTCAAGCCAGACGCGACCTACCATACCATGAGCAGTGTCCCATGCACGTCTACCTCCTCCACAGCGCCCATCTCGCATCCTTCGGCCCTGACCTCGCATCCCCACCACTCGGTGCACCCGGGGTTGGATGGAGACCTCTTGGACCACATCTCCCCAACGCTGACCGTGAGCGGCATGGGGGGCCCCGACCACACGGTGATGTCGGCTCAGATTCACCCCCACCACCTGGGCGCCATGGGGCACCTGCACCAAGCCATGGGCATGGGCCACCCGCACCCGGTCTCGGCTCACAACGGCATGTCCTGCATCAGCGACGTGGAGTCGGATCCCAGGGAGCTGGAGGCTTTCGCCGAGAGGTTCAAACAGAGGCGGATCAAGCTGGGGGTGACCCAGGCGGATGTAGGGGCGGCTCTGGCCAACCTCAAGATCCCCGGCGTGGGCTCGCTCAGCCAAAGCACCATCTGCCGGTTCGAGTCTCTCACCCTGTCCCACAACAACATGATCGCCCTGAAGCCCGTGCTCCAAGCCTGGCTGGAGGAGGCTGAAGCTGCCTACAGGGAGAAGAACACCAAGCCGGACCTGTTCAGTGGCAGCGAGAGGAAACGCAAGCGGACCTCCATCGCCGCCCCGGAGAAGCGCTCCTTGGAAGCCTATTTTGCCATCCAGCCCAGACCCTCCTCGGAGAAGATCGCAGCCATAGCGGAGAAACTGGACCTGAAAAAGAACGTGGTGCGGGTTTGGTTCTGCAACCAGAGACAGAAACAGAAACGCATGAAGTACTCCGCCGTGCATTGACTCGGGCAGGGGCTGGGGTGGGCAGCTGGCTCTTCTAAGCCTGGACTTTTATATATTTTATTCAAATAAAGAGCAGGGATCTCCGTGAGGACTCGCACTCAAACCGACCGACCAACAAAGCCATTAACTCCCCCATCACGCTGATTATTTCCCTCCTCCCCCTTTTCTTGTCCCGTCTTCTTAAAAACAAAACAAAACAAAAACAAGTTTCTCCTGGTTGCTCTTCGGCTGAGATTCACGTCTGTTGTGTCTGTTGTGCACTAGAGTATAAGCCGCTTGTCACTTTTGGAAGAGTTGGAAGCTGAGAGGTACTGGGGAGGTGGGAGAATTATCTTGTTTCTAACACAATTGCAATAAAAAAAGAATAAAAGGATAGTTTAAGGGGAAGGGGATGGAGAGGGGAAATGCTTCTGAGGCGAAACCAGAGGATAAATATTTATTAATATTTGTGAATTATATTTAAAAATAAAAAGGCTATTTTCAGAATGTCATGATTATACCCGGAGGTCAAATTCTACTTAGCTTTTTGTGTGGGTCTATATCTCATCTCCTTCTAGGACCGGAACGCCTGGTAGAGGGACCAATCTTAACCTGAGATACGTGAACAATTGTTTTATACTCCAAAACTTTGGTAAAGAAAAGCAAAACAACCTATTTTTACTCAGCGAAATACTTTGGCTGCTCTTGGTGTGAAATTTTCTTTCCCCCTAACACACACACAAAACTATCTCCAACTAGATACCAGGTGTATTGCCTAGATTTTTTAATTCACCTTTAAATCAAGTTCTCTTATTTAGTTGACTTGTTTGACAAGAGATTAAATCGTGGAAAGAAGTAGTATTCTTGCACTGGTCTGAACACAGTTTTACGTCTCTCAGATCCATAGATTCCCACCACAGACTTGTACAGTGCACTCACTTGAGTTTGCAGCCACAGTACTGGGACTCTATCAACGTAGAGACTTGGCGGAATTAACAGTAGCGCTGTAACTTCATGGACTTGTCTGCAATCGCTTCAACTGTGTCTCCACTCGATGTTTTTTTTTTTTTCCATTTTTTTTAATCCAAGGAATTTTTTCCGTTTTAATTAAAGACTGTATCTGAGTTTTGTAATACACCAAGTTGGTAAGGGTTCTTGTAACATATTCTTGGTTCAATATTTCTAATGAGCTTTCTCCCTCCCACCCCCATATGTTTCATATTTTAGTTATCTCATAGTTTGTGTGCTTGTGTGTGGTCATTTATTCATTCATTCATTGGGATAAATTCTGAAACGTTGTTTTCCCTTGGATTAATTTCTGAAATAAATGCTTTATTTTTCAACCCGAATGGAGAATTTTCTTTTCAGAGATGAAAGCAGGTCGGATGAAGCAGAACAGAATATTATAAAATGTGCAGTAATAATAATAAACTTTAGACAGTGCTTTTCCCTTGGAGAATGGAAAGGGATTTTTAAATCGTAATGAATCAGCTTTACTAGTCATCCTTCCCAGTTAACCTGTTATCTTTATCTTGTATTATTATGACTGTTTCTACAAGCTGTAAAGTTTCACCACTTTGTTTGTTGACTTTTCCATGTATTGATTTACCTCCGCATTTTTTTTCAAGGCGGTCATAATTTCTCTGTGCCAGAAAATGTATTATTTCCATCTATAAAATGTAAATTACCAGATTCCCATAGATTCCTACTGTGCGTGGATCTCGTTATGTTTATTCGCTAGTTCCTAGGCTGCGTGTAATTCAAGTAATTCAAATTGGGAATAAAACCAATTCCCCTTTGCAAAACAAATGCCCCAACGTTTAGTTAAGTTTTGGAAGGGACGGGGATTAATTCTTCTCACCCGGACAGAGTTACAGAAAGAATTTCATTCTCTAAAATTTAATTTTAAAAAATCGCTCAACCAACTCTCTGAAAGGTTCATTTCAAATGCTGTTTAAAAGAAAAAAGAGGGCTTTTTATTTATGAATCCCAGAAGCACCTTAACGATTAAAAATTAATGATCGAAGCCCAAGTATCTTCTGAATATTTCACGGTAGCATTTCAATGAGTGTCAAACATCAAACCTTAGATCAGGGAATCTCTTTCATTCACCCCCCACTCCCCACTTCACCTCACCCCACCCCATCTTTGGGAAAGCACCTTACAAATCCACCTTTTTAATTTTAGGGCTCTTAAGAAACTAGAATGCTAAACCTCCCAGAGTTTCCTAGTTCTATTTCTTCCTAATCAGCCCCAATGATTTTTTTCCCAATCAAATGTCCTTTAATAATAAATGTCCTTATGCCATTACATTATATTGTGGGTTTTGAAAATTTAAAATAAGGGTGATGCAATATTAATTGGCTATCGTGGTATAAAAAGGGCAGAAACCAATTCAGGCTGTCTCCTTTCACTACTGTCCACTAGGATTTCAGCAGATACTCTATAAGGGCATGGCTGGGTTTGTTAAAGTCCGGGTAAGATATATTTTTAATATTTTTCTCAATCCTTAAAATCCTATTAACGTTACCTATTACATTTATTAGTGGGTTAGTTTGTTTTACAGCCAAGATATCAAGATCAACAAAAACAAAAAGCTGCAGTTGGTGGTGGTGGTTTTTTTTTTAAGTTATTTTTGGAGTTTCAGATAGAGAACTTATTTTCTAAATGTGGGGTTAAAATATGCGCTGTAATAAATTAGCCAAAAGAGTTGTCCTGAAATCAATTTAGACGGTATTTCTATGCCAGATCAAATATTTTTGATCTAATAAGTATCTGACAAATACACCAACCAGATGCTAGAAAAACGAAAACACCAATTCAATTTAAAAGGTGATTGGGGAATGCCCCAGCTTCTTATTTTCCTCTTTTCCTAGCTTGTATGATTTTTAACCCCCCCGCCACTCCGATACAACTCTCAACTGAGAACATTTCCTAAACCCTCATCGGAGAAATTAAGTTTAAAAGCTGTTTCTTTCCTTCTGGCTTTAGCAGCAAGGCGTTCTGGATTTCAGAACTGGACAGATCATTGCGGCTGCTAAATGCTTTTGTTTGATGTAGGGAACTTTCTCCGAGTTTTTCCCCGGATCCCACTTTCAGAAGAGACGCCTTCTTAAAAACAAAACAAAACCCCTCTTTTAGCACCGCATCTTTTATTTATAAAATGTCTGTTGGGTTTTATTATTTTATCAGCTGTCTGGTTTGGAAAGTGCTGCCAATGGCTCCCTGCTCTTAGTCACAAACTGTCTGCGGCAAGATTTAATCCTTTTGGACCAAACGTACTAACGTTGCCCTGAAGGACTTGGGGGCAGAGAAGGCTAGATCTTCTGAGGTCTCTCAGCAGAGGAATGGTAGCAAACCGTCCGCTTGTCTTTAACAGCAGAACGAGCAGAGTGTAGCTTTGCAGTGAGCTTGCTTTCGGTTGCAATCTCTCTCAACTCGGGCTAGCATATTTGGGCAAGAAAGTCACTTTGCTCTGTCCCCAGCAAAAGCAAAGAGTTCACAAGGAGATGCTGCTGGTTAAAAGTTAAAATATAGCACTTTGAAGAGCCCAGACCCGTTTGTTTGTCAGCAAACCTGTGGGCTTTTAGCACGAAGGACAGAAAAAAGATGTGAAGCCAGAGTTGTTACAGCCACTATGAAAGCGGTATACTCTGTCCTCTTAGAGCTGAGAGACTTGGAAAAGTTCATGCTATCTGGGTCTTTGTTTAGAAGATGATAGCACATGTAGCTTTCTCTTATCCAAAAGAAAACATTCTGTGGGGGAGTCTGAATAATCTCTTTGGGTAGGATACATGTGTGTGATCTCTGTGCGTTTGTGTTTTCTTTCGGTGGCTTATTTACAGACAGATGAAGTTTGGGTGTCTAGATTTTGTTGGTTCTCAGACCTGGTAAATGTGTCGCTCATGTCTCTCCCTTTGGAGCGAAATTCAGTGTCAGGCTTGGCCGGGGATAGCTGGACGCTAGCGAGCTTTAGGGAGAGCCCAGCGCTGGGGACTGCGAGGGGCAGGGCCTTTGCCCCACTCTCAGGCCACGTCGCCCGCGCTCCCCAAACCAGGCGCCCCCTGCTCATTAACAACAACTCCGAATTCGGTTAAACTTTCTTTCCCCGAGCTGGGCCCTGGAGCCGGCGCTCGTGCGGCCCAACGACCTCGCTGCAAAGGAAGGCGAGAAAATGCGCTAGTCTGGCCCGAGCCGCGGCCAGGCCAAGGGGCTGGCGCTTCAGCTTCTCCTCCCCGCTCGGAGGAAGCCCGGAAGGGGCTGCCCCGTCCGCTGAGACAAACGGAGGAGAGGCTGGTAGCCCTCCACTGGCCCATGCTGGAGTTAGAGGCAACCTCCGCGTTTTTAGCTGCTTTGCAAATATTTCCGCTTGACGCGTAACCAGCCGCGGAGAAGGCGCCCGGGGGCTGCGCGGGAGGTTTGCAGAGCTGGGGGGCCGGGGCAGGGGGTGGCGAGATCTTTCACCCCCACTTCCCGCCAAAGGAACGAACGTCGATTTGGTGTGTGTGTGTGTGGGGGGGGGTTGCAAATGCCCCGACGTTTGCTTATAATCGTGTGCGCCCAATGCCCAAGCCTGCGCCATCGCCCGCAGGGCGCTCGCGCTGCCCCCACGCGCCGGGCAGACTGGAGAGCGGGAACGGGCCGGGGAGGCCAGGGGCTTCCGGACCTTGGGCCGGGCATAACGTTACCCCCGCGCGCACCCGCTTGAGGCGAATAGAAAATGTCTGAGGAGGGTTTTTTTAAGCCAGGCCGGGAAGAAGCGGGTCCGTGCGAACAATAGTTCGGGCTGCGCCTGCTCCCCCTGAAATCAACACGAAACTCGCGTGGACGTGGACTTCGGTGGGAGCCTAGTAAAGCCCCTTGTTCCCTCGGGGGAAGAAGAGGAAGCAGCTGACCTGGGTTCCCAGGCTCCGGAGCTGTTCATAAAGGGGGCCTGTAGGCCACGGTCCCCTCCTGTTTCACACCCAGTCCCGCGCATGCTCCTCGTTCATTTCCCGCCGCCTGGGGGAGACCCGCATCCTGTCATCAACCCCCCTGGATACGATTCGAGGCGAACTGGCCTCGGGAAGGGGTCTGGTTACAGGCCTGAGCGACTGGCCCCCACATCCTCACCCTCACTCTAAAACAAAGGGGCTGCTTGGTGTAGCTTGACTGTCACCTCCTTAGCAGAGCTACTCAGTGTCCACCCCTCATAAATCACGGCTTACTTTTCTATGCACTCAATTGCTACCAAACCCAAACTAATTGCATAAATTCCTCCAGGCCATTTTGCGCTGTAGTGGTGCTTGGGAGTTGATCAATTAGTCATTAGGCTCCTCCATTAGCTGAGCTTTATGCTCGCTAATATAAATGTCTTGTGCCGATTTCCTTGTAATTGAATGAATAAAAAAATACAGTTCTTAGCACGAAGGACAGAAAAATGATGTGAAGCCAGGGTTGTTACAGCCAATATGAAAGCGGTACACTCTGTCCTTTTCCAACTGAGAGACTTGGAAAAGTTCATGCTATCTGGGTCTTTGTTTAGAAGATGATAGCACATGTAGCTTTCTCTTATCCAAAAGAAAATATCAGTGTATGTATGAGCATCAGACTCTGAAGCTGCTAGGTTAGTCAGACCTACCTTATCAATTAGTCAATGTATTTGATCCCAACAGAAATGTATCATCTGAAAGCTACCAATGCAGGTGTCAAGTATCAGAGGAGTAGCCGTGTTAGTCAGAATCTGTAAAAAGCAACAGAGGGTCCTGTGGCACCTTTAAAACTAACAGAAGTATTGGGAGCATTTCTTAGCCTCACTGAAGTCAATGGCAAAACTCAGTTGGTCCAGGATTTTTCCCCTGATGCTAGATTCTGACATCCCTGGTTCTTAAGTTCCTTTTGAAATCCATCCTAAATCCCCCTTTAATTCTAAATAGGGCATAGAACATTTTCAACAACACTTTTTGTCAAAATATGCTGATTCATTGAAGTTGAAACATTGTGTGGACACTTGACAAAGTTTTTGATGGGAAGGTTTGTGATGTCCAGGATGAACTCTCTGGTCACAGAAAGATAGAGAGAGAAAGAGACTTGAATAAAAAACCCGATTTTTTCCATCAGAAAAATCGATGTTTCTGCCACAATTCCATTTAATGAAAATGGTCAAAAGGTTTGGTCTTCATTCCAGTGAGGAACAAAGACAAATTCTGAAATGTCAAAAGTTGTCCAAAAATGGAATTGTTGTTCTCCAGGCAGCTCTAGTGTGTGCCTTGCTAAAGCCCAGTTATCAAATGAAGAATATTTTGTGATTACATGAGCCCATTCACTCAAGGAAAGGAATTTTTTACATGGGAGAATAAAATATTTTTATTTTCATCCTCATTATCGTAAAGGGTGGAAAAATAGGCTGGGTTTGCATACTTGTTTTTTTTTCCTGGACTGTACATTTTTGTGGCAATTTTGTATTAGTCCCTTAGAGCTCCGATTACAAATAGACTACAATATATGGGCCTTATGGTGATCTCACTCAAGCCAGTGGCAAAATGCCCTTTGATGTCAGTGGGAATAGGATCAGGGCCTGTGTTTGTTGCTTAGGAAAGAGGGAGAAAAGGTGAATAATTTTCTCTTGATGTAAATAAAATGTAGCGCCACAAGAATATAAAACTGCCACAAAACAATACCGTATGGGTGGCTTTTGCATTGATGGATGCCAGAGACTGATAGCACTAGTTAGAGTCAGGTGTATTGGGCTTGATTCTGATCACACACACACACACACACACACACACCAAGTAACTCCACTGAAACCAGTAGTGTTACAGATGTGTAAACCAGCTGTAGCTGAAAGGAAACTCAGGCCAATGTACAGAGGTTCTGTGTATAGTTCTTCCACATTGCTCCATTAATGCACTTTGAGTGTGACCCACAGCACTTTTTCTACTGCACTATTGGGGTCATTTTCAGACCTGGTATAAGCAAATACAGCTTTTTTAAAGTTAAATCTGTATCTGCTTATGCCAGGTCTAAATTTGGCCATTGGGCTTCTGAGAATAGACAGCTAGTCATCATTATTTTATGATTAATTGTGTTGAATTGTGCCAGGTCATATGATGGTTTTGTGATGTGGATGTATTGGGCCAAATTCCTCCCTGGTATAACTCCGCTGCTTTCATTGCAATGCATCACATGTGAATCATGGTATCCATTATCTCTGATTGCAAATTATTTAAGGTCCTGTTTGTTCAAAAACATTTAAATACTTAACTATATAATAATAATGATCCAGGCTTGGCACGCCAACAAAATTGGAGTCAAATCAATGGAGCAATGTGATTTTTTTTTCACCTGTAGTGAGAAATTGCTTACTGGTTTGCTGGTGCTGGATTTAAAGATCTGTTTTATGATATTGGGAATATAATTCCAATGGCACGACAGGGATCAATATATCATTTCCTGGGATTCTTTTATTTTTTGGACTCTCTAGTGCTGGAGAAGGGATCCAGGCTGACAGTCCTGGGAACTGCAGTCCTATTTTTGCAGAACAAATATAAGACTGGTAGAAACTTCCCAATCATTGTCTCCCTCAGTCTGAACCTTGATGGGCTACCTCTAAGGGTGAAGACAGTTCAGGGCCTCTTTTTTAAGGAGTGACAGTTGTCTGTGGTGTATGTGTGTGATATGAACACTAATGCTAGGAACTAGACTGAGCCCTCAAATTTATTTCACATAGAACGCCAGACAATTATCTGATGATTATTCCTTTCAGCCACTAATGATTTAGGTTGGATTCAAGCTAGCAAACTAAAGGTGAAAGGGTTACTACCAAGCCTATAAACCATCCTATTCCCTAATAAATTATTAGTTATAAAGGTGTGGTCATACTTTCATTGAAGTGTAATGGCAGGATCATGCCTAGCTGTGTAATCTAAACAGGATTTATGTAGGATATAGGACTTGTGCCCTTTTTTTATTTTACATTTTTTCTTAAAAATGAGGCACATTAGAAACCCTTTGCTTTTTTATCATCGAATCTATCTATGGGAGTGTGGAGAGCAGGATTGCTTGGTACACCAAATGCAGAGAGTTGACTAATTTTTTAAAATTTCATCCCTGCTATATTGTGCCCTCCCTGTCCACCCACTCCAGTCCCAGACATGTCAGCACAAGATATTAAAAAGGGGAATCTAGCTAAAACTTCAGTTTTACTCTATCTGTGAATTTGCTTAACATTCTCCATGAACAGGCTCACCTGTGAGATAAAAGTCTCAGTGGAGGACAATCACTTCTCCAGATGGTGAGATGATGGTCTGTCTCAGAACCTTACAGTATTCACTTTAATTGTTCTTTAAACATGGTTGAATGGCTGAGCAGCTGGGCTGCTGTTTGTTCTCTGTACCAAAGATGTGAAATATACAAGACGCATCTGTTTGAGACATTGCAAAGCTCCAAATTCCTTCATTAAATCCAGAGAAGAAGTAAGTTTTATACTGAACTGCTCTTCTAACTGTTGGTGCTGATTATTCGATATCGTTTGTGAATTGATTTAGGGCATATTTAAAGTGAGGGACCAATAGCATTGGCTAGCATAGGCACAATGCTGGCAGGTGTCATGGGAAAATTTCCTTCAGTGCTCTGACTAATATGTTGCAACACCCCATTCTTATTCCACTTCTGGAATGGGAAACATATTTTTGTAGTCCGCCTCAATCCTGAACTGTCACTCTCCTAATATTCCAGGTACACCTGGGGCAATGAACTTCAGTCTTTCTCACCATCAACACAAGCTAGTTCAGTTCTGAGCTTCCTGTGAATTGTGTATAATACTGTATCCTTGTAACCTGAAATGTGTTTAAGGGAAGTTTGGCATGAGATCCACCTAACTTCTTTTCATCCGTGTGACTGAATCAGGTTTTAATCCAGAGGTGAAATGTTGTTCCCATTGAAGTCAATGGCAAAACTCCCAATAGTTTCAATGGGGCCAAGATTTCACCCCAGGTCTCTAGAGCCAAAAGACCAGACCCAGATCTGCTCTCAGTAGTTTGAACTATCAATGAGCTGTCATTATCTGTGCTATTTCATATATTTTTTTCCTATTTAAATTTGTGTTTTCCTACAGAGAAAGAACTTTCAAGAACCAGCAAAGAAAATATGTCAAAACTCCAAATTCTAAAGAGCTAGCCCATCTGGGCAGAGCAACAAGATTCCAATCAAGAATGATGCAGAGAAGGTAATTGGCAAACTACAACTAAAGTGAATAAAATGTTACCCTCTGATGCTGCAAAGTCTTAGGCACACAGAGCAAATGAATAGTCCTTTTGCACTGCGATCCATGGGTTATTTATGTGCAGAAGTCCTTGCAGGATCAGGGCCTTCGGTTTGTTCATTAATGTTTCACAGGGCTGAACTGAGCCTGTGAGTCAAACTACTCTTGTCCCTTGTGGCTTCCATGTTTCTGGGTTAAGAGGTTGTTGTTCCTAGGTGTTTGTTTTTTAAATAAATGTAACCTCCTATAGTCCTTCTTTAAGATCAGGTATTACATTAAGTAGACTTGGACTTGCAGTAGGAGATGATTATATTTCTTTAAACCTTGGAGACCAAATGAGAATTATATAGAGATGATGTGACACTGAATTTTTTACACCCTGTAGCCATGTAATGAAAGCCAAGACCAAACTGGGACTCCATGATGCAACTGTCAAAAGCCCCAGGAGCCAAGGGCAACTTTCAGACTTGAGAACCTCTGCAATGAGTCAGATCTGCTACACTTTAGTATTGGTAATGTGATGTTGTTACACTATGGCAGTGAAATTATATTATCTTCTGCATCGTGAAGAGATAACGCTTGTATGACAATGTACTCCACCACGAGTTACTACAGCAATATAGCAAAAAGGCATTCACACTTTCCTAGAGCCTGATCTTTTTAATCTAAGTCTAGTCTACACTGGGCTTTTTAATTTAAATCTAGTCTACACTGGGCTTCTAGCACCCTCCTCCTTTCCCCTGTCCCCACTGTGGCTCTCTGGGCCAAATTCACCTCTTGTGTAATTCCACTGAAATTCCAGCGTGGGAGAGTCCATGGCAAAGCTTCCATTGACTTCAGTGGAGCCAGGAATTTCACCCAGTGTTTTTAACAGGGTACCATGTTGTATGAGAGCTACACTGTGACTAGCATATAGGGTTTCTCTTACTCTCAACAGTAGCTGGGTGGATTTTCATGGCAGGAAGAGAGTCTTTAGTTGGTGATGTCTTCCAGGACACTGTCTCAGACGTGATCTGAGTTCAGGCTGTGGCAGCAAATGCAGACATCTGATATTCTTTGCCTATGCTGAGGAAGCCCACTTTGACATCACTTGGAGCTAGGCATTTATAAGGAATGGGGAAGTGACCCTCTAGTTCCTTGCAAGACAGTATTGGTATTACAACACCCAGAAGCATGTTGGGCTTTTTATGGAGCAAATAAAATATCCCGAGGGACCTTACCCAGCTTAGTACTTAGGGTACTGAGACCTAGCAGTTAAAAATGCTCTAGAAGCACGAATTATTATTATGAGACAAGACAACAAGGTGAGAGTAACTAACAAGTGACTTTTCTCAAGGAAGTAAAATTCAGTGGGAGCAAAACTTCCTGAAATGAAATTGCCAACAATAATCATTAATAGGGTATTCATCAAAATCTTCCAAAAATGCACAAAAATACAATACAGTATTTTGGGAAAGTTTCCCACAAGGTACAAGCTGCTCCTTAGGGGATAGATCCTTTAAGGTTATGAATAGCTCAGATGAGATGTAATGTGCCCTTAAGTCCCATCAGTCTCAATTAATCCTGAGGAGCTCAGTACTTTGTAATATTGGGCTCCAATACGTTTGGTCTTTCATATGCTGGAGGGGTTGGGCTGGGTCAAGTATTACCCATGTTCAGTAGTACTGTGGAATCATCCTGCAAGAATTGATTCATTTAAAAGAAAACCCCACCCCTATTTCTGGCTGTGATCATTATGGGAAAAGGAGTTCCCATTTAATGATTGCGGTGGGCGAGGGAGTGGGGAAGGAGCTATCCAACCTGGGCTGGGAGGGGGAAAGCTCAATAAAGTGCATGCATATAAGGCACTGAAAGAGATTCGGCAAGACAGGCCCCTTTACATGGTTTCTGAACCACTAACAATTGATTTTTTTTTCCATTCTGTGCTTGTTCCCTAATATCCTGCTCTCCGTCTCCCGGGGACTGCACACAGGAGATGAAAGCAAAGAAAACCAAACAAGCCATCGGCGGCGCTCACTCAATTGATTTTTACACAAAATTTGCCTTCATGCACGAAGGATGGAAAAATGATCTCATTAATAATGAATAACAAAAACAAATGCAGGGAGGAAATCAATAGAAGTACATTTGATATCATAGGGAGATGAGAAGGGGGTGAAAAAAACCCTACAAGACCAAACCTAGCAACACAGAGATGCATAATGCAGGGGCTGTGTGCTTGGGAGGATGGCTGCCTCTCTGTGTTACACCTGTCAGGGATATACCCGAGGGAAGCTGGTGTACAGCAGAAAGTGCTGAACACCTCCCCAGCCCGCGTGACATTTATACTTTATGCCAGGCAGTTCTGCAGACCCAATGAGAGATGGAGTAATGATCTGAAAAGCAAAAATAGCCTGAATCTGCTTCTGAAACACTAACTCTTCTGACGGTTGAAAACATCCAGTTAACTTTCTTTTGTTTTCATTTTCCCTGGGTGCCTCTGTGCTTCCTGGTTTCATCCCTGACTGAAAGTGAACACATACAAGAAAGGATAAGCCTTGTATGCACGCACAAAGCGTACCCCTTTAACCATACCAGTACAGTTAAAGGGGTACAACCCCCTTAGGATGGATGCAGTTAAACCAATATAAATATACTTATGCTGGTATAACTTATTCCTGTATGGGAAGAGGAATAAGCTATACTGGAATAAGGCACCTCTGTATTGGTATAACTGCATCCTCACTAGGGGTTGTGTATTTCAGTAAAAAAAATCACACCCCTAACCATAATAGCTACATTGGTATAAAAACTGTATATAGACCAGTGCATATTCTATTTCTGGCCCAGCTGAAAATATCATGATTGGGCTGATTTTCATGAAGTTTCTAGCCTGATTTCCAGGTTTGGATGAACAGTGACATTAGTGAGGCCAGAATTTGGCCCAGGAGAAGCTCTAGAGTGTTACCAAGCTTAGCTGAGCTACTTCCACCTACAGCTCATTTGACGCTGTCAGGGAGGACATTTTGGAATCTGTAGATTCAGCAACCGTCTGAGGGAACTGACCAGCCCTGGGATGTGGTGGTGACTATGTATGTTGACAGGCTTGGCAAAACCCATCGGACAAAACTAATTCTAATTAATTAAAGGTTTCAGTTAATAAATTAATGCATATATTAAAGCTGATTCGAGTTTCTTTTCCCATGGAAAATTTCTATTTTTAATTAAAACAAAATCTGGACATTTTAAATGGGTTTTGCCCCAAAATCTTTAGTTGTCAGTAGATTTTGATGGGGAAAAAAAGTTCAGTTTTCTGATGAAAAATATATTTTTTTCATTTGTAGGAAATTAGATATTTTCCTTGAAAATTTTTGTTTAGTTGAAAATCTAATTTTCGGTCAATGAAAATTTTCTGTTGAAACTTTTGTGTCAGCCCTAGAATACATTATTTTTGGCCTGTAAATGTGAAAGCAAGAATCATTATCCCCATATAAAGGACAGAAAAACTGAGGTGCAAATAGGTATATGGTTTCCCAAGGTCACACAGCCAGTTAATGACAGAGCTGGGATTAGTAGATCACAGGTACCAATTTAGTGGTGCCAACTACTAATCCAATATTCAATCAACTAGACTTACTATTGGTCTCAGTGAATGGGATCATAATATACACAGCAGTTGGCCCAAACAGCTCAGCTTCAGATTAAAATAATGGTTTTAAGACCAAGCATAGAAATAAAACGGTTCTGGTGTTGGGCTTAAAATACAATGGCACTGAGTTCCTAGGGTTAACAGGAAATTATCAGTCTTGTCCTTAGCCTTATGCCAACCTGAGTATGGGTTAGGAGTAGTAAATTAATGCCTATAGCATAGGTTTGGGACCATTAATGGTTCTAGTTCTAATCAGTGCTGTGACGGCAGTGTGTATCCTTAGAGGAATCGCTGGGTATAAATTGAAAATTAGATGATGAATCTGAGCTGACTTTTCTGGGGAAAGTAATAAAACTCCCATCCCAACCCCTTCATACTGAAACTGTTTTCATTGGACTGATCTGGCTGAATAAGGGGATCTGAGTCTGGCAGTATGGTGCTGTGGTGACCTGAATGTAGAATGAGGGGGATGGCATCACCTGAAATTTAGGATAGTCCCAGAGCACCACTCATCTCCATGCTTTTTTGCATACTGCATAGCTCCATTGTTTCATCTTGTTTTGAAAATATTCTCTTTTCCCTTTCCTCCAGCCTTTGCTCTCACCTGCAAAAATGTACATTTCAAACTAGTGTAACTGAAACACTCAATGGGCCAAATTTTCAAACCAGGGTCCCAAAATACCAGGCAGAGCACATCCATTGACCTTGCAAATCCTGCATGTAATGTAGTAAACCACCACATATTCATACAGATGGGGGATGTAACTTGGCCTTACTCAGCCTGAATTATAAGTCAGCATTTTGTGAGTGCACTGGAGGTACAGGTGTAGAAAGTCCAGATCCAGTGAAGTTCAAGTGCACAGCAGGAGGAGGCAAGATTTTGTGAGCCCACACAAGGGACCAGGTCTTAGATCTGCATGCACTCCTGCACATGACTGTGCAACATGAGAGTATGCAAAGGGCGGGGGAGGGGCAGAGCCTGTGAATCCCGCAGCTACTTCCTCAGCTGCTATAGTGATGAGGGCCATACAAGATACTTTTCCCATGGAGCAGGAGCACAAAGACTGGAAGCTACTCCAGCCTGGGGTGAGATTAGCAATTTAGACTGGATCCATTGCTGCTCCACAGCCCCTCGGAAGAGGATTTCTGCCTCCCTGTGCCAAAGGAAGTCACCAGTGCCCAGGACAGCTACTCAGGCAGGACTTGGGCAGAGAATTTACCCCTCAATGGACATCTCTCAAATAATAACAACTATCATCCCTCTTTTCTAGGGCAACCATCATGGTGCGATGATCTGCTAAGCCTGAAAATGAAGATTTATGCTGGAAAGCCTGGCAGACCCTAAAATGCAGCATTGCAAGTCGTGGGAATGTAATAATGTAAGCTCATTCCTAATAAAACCAACTTAACAGTTAGCTACACAAGGGAAAATGGGACTTTCTTTTCATGCCACCTGTTGTTTCAACTTAATCAGTCTGGGGATCCTGAGTACATTTTGCCATAGGCTTCATTTGGGCATTCAGAGCAAACAGCACAGAGATACAATGAGAGCTGTACAGAAATGCACTGAGTCAAACAGGAAATATTCTACCACACTGGTATAAAGTGAAAGGAATTTATTTCAGTCACGCACCTTCACTAGCCATTTCCAGCTAACTACATTGGAAAGCAAGGAAGTGGATTTCTCCTTTCACGGTAGTAGCTGGGGCTTATGGGTTACTTCACCTGGACAAGTATCAGGGGGTAGCCGTGTTAGTCTGTATCTACAAAAACAACAAGGAGTCTGGTGGCACCTTAAAGACTAACAGATTTATTTGGGCATGAGCTTTCGTGAGTAAAAGCCTCACTTCGGTGCATCTGAAGAAGTGAGGTTTTTACTCACGAAAGCTCATGCCCAAATAAATCTGTTAGTCTTTAAGGTGCCACCAGACTCCTTGTTGTTTTCACCTGGACAGTGTTAGATACAAATTTGTTCCTTCAGCAAAGCAAAGATTTGGGTTTTGTTCTGTAAAGCAAATTTAGAACTATATATTGTGTGAGAGCGCTTATAAAATTATATTCTATTTTATAGGGGGCGGAAGCAATATGCCAAAGGAGATGAAAAGATTTGACTATTTTTTAAATGAATGAAGCATTTTAAAGCAGCAATAATGCTACATAATCTAGACTGACCATTAAAAAATGTTATTGGGCTAAAATTTTCCAACCTGGGTGACTAAAATTAATCCTTCTAAGTCTATAGTTACACTTTAAAATAAAAGTGGCCTGATTTTCAAAGGTGCTGAGTACCAGTCGTTCCCCATTAACTTGAACTGGATGTGCAGGTGCTCAGCAGAGCTCATAATCAGACCACTTATATTTAGTGCATATGGATTTAGGAGGCCAGCTTTAAGGTCCAAGTTGGACAATGTTAGCTTCAGTGCATTGTCAAAGTTTACAACAAACAAATACTTTGAATTCTCTCTCATCTGAATAAAGTATTTACCTCCTTTCTCTGCCAGGTGTTGTGAGGGTTAATTAATTAAAATTTGTAGAGTGTTTCCAGGAGGCAAAAGTAAGAATAACAATAATGCCAATAATTAACAAACCATAGCTCTTATAGAGTTCTTTGCAGATTCAAAATATTGGACCAGCATTAATAAATGTGTCCCTACAACACCACTGGGAAGTAGGAAAATGCTAAAGCCCCTTCATACAGATGGGGAAACTGACATACAGGGTTGATGTGACTGGTCCAAGGCTGCACAGTGGTAGAACCAGGATTAGAACTCCAGACTTCTAAGGGCTTGAACTCCAGCTCTGGGACCCCTTCTTTAGACCATCTGTGCTGCCTTAAATACGTGCCTTCTAAGGGCTTGTCTATGCAGGAAGATAGCCTGGAATAGCTATTCCACACTAGCACCCCTTGTGGACACTCTCATTCTGCACTAAGAGTGGGCTAACCTAAGCCACATAAAGTGTGGATTAAAAGTGTCCACGTGGAGAGTTATTGTGGAATAGCTATTGCACTCTTTCACTGCCTGGCTTATTTCACAATAGCTTCTCTATGTAGACATGCTCTAAATGATAAATATTACTATTATTTTATTATCTTGAGGTGCCCATTGGAAAACTGAGAACTGATCCAATAGCTCGTGGATCCATGTTCGGAAACGGTTGTTGTGTTCCAGGTGATAAAGAAGCAAATGGCCATGAAGCCTTCCAGTCTAAGCACCTGAGAGAAATCCAGAGCCAAGCATTTCCTCCAGGAAGTAAGCTAAAGGTCTTCATCTCTCTCACTGCCTGATTTGTAACCCAAACTCAGTGGTTGAGCATGATCCTTAATGCGGGTTATTATTTATAAATTATTGAGGAGTGCAATATCTCTCCATTTACTGACTATCATAACAAAGAGTTGGGAGATAAACCAAGTCATCATCTACCAAAAGAACACAGCATTTGGACAGTGCAAAGGCGCTAAATAATTCAGTATCTATTTAAAAGTATAGTGTTTTGTAATTTCAACAGAACCCGCCTTGGTCTGGCTTCACATAACTCAGAATGTGCTTGCTTGCAGGTGCTCTCTGTTCTGGAGAGAAAGGAGCAGGGAGTGGGTGGGAAGGCCAATCACACTGTCAGCATTTACTAGGATTTTAAACTTGCATGAGTTCGGTGAACTAAATGTACAAGGAGCAGTAAGGCTGGTGGGTTTCCAGAAAGCCCTTTGATTTTTCTTCTTCATGTCTACAGCATGAGAGTTTTGTAAGTTTACATGTGTCCCCGTTTACACATGTGTATAACACACCTTTGGGCATTAAAGTTAATGAAAGGGTTGCCTGAGTAAGGAATACCGTACTGGACAGCAAGATTTGGGGGCCAGATCCTCAGCCTTTTTGTGTCATTCTGGCAAGGATCTGAGAATCTCAGGTTGTGGGTGGGGAGAGCATAGAAACAGCTCATCAGTGTACTGTGTGTGTTCTGGGTGCACCCACAGAGCCTGTTGTTAGCTGGCTTAAGTTAGAATAGTTCAAATGCTCTGGTAGCCCCTAAATTCTGGGAACAGAAAAGGTGTTGTGCAGCCACATTGGATCCTTTGCCAAGCACGGTGTGCCAGATTTAAGAATTGGGCCCTGTATGCTTAGACAAGGGGGGAAAATAAAGGATTTAGAGCCATTTCAGTGTGAGGTTTAAATTGATATTGTATATGATATTACAGTGCTCAAGACATATATCCATTTGATTTCACTGGTGATACTAGAGTCAGATGCTGTCCAGCTGTGACATGAGAGATGTCTGAGAAGTAACAGTAAAGCTATGGCAGTTTTTCTGGAGGAGGGGGAAAAGACTGACTTACTCTGTGGAAGAACCTGGGCTTAGTAAAGATATAGATTGAGTACTGAAGAGTACAGAGCTCAGCAGGTTGAGAAGTTCTGGTCAGACAGGTGCTGAAAAGTCTGATTCACACATGAAAAATAACTGTCCTATTCTGAACATCTCAGGACAAATCAATCTCTGGTATAACTATATTGTTATCCCAGGTATTAATCTGACTGTGTGGCCCTGTGGGACGAAGTCAACTGGCATGGTCCAGCCATGGGTGTCTAATTGCAGTGCAGACATAGCTTCTGGATCAAATCTGCAGAGTAGATCACAGTAGGAGCATCTGTAAAAATGCCCTCATATCTGTGGTGCTGGTAAAACTCTGCATTTGTCTGTGCAAATGAGTATTTGCACTTACACAATGGATCTTTGTCTAAGTGCTTGTTTGCATGCCTAATTGCCCACTTTGCATGCACAAAAGTGGTGCTTTGCAGCACAGCAGGAGCATACGCATGTTATAACTGCACCTGTTGATCTTGATTTGAAAGTCCATACATGCCTCCTGTACACTAGCCCCACTGCCAAGATGTGTACTGCAGGGATCTGGATTGACAGGACGCAGGACAGTCCTGTGTCTTGGTGAGGTGCTAGAAGCTGAGAATGGCCCAGCTTGAAACTATCTTTTGAGTCCCTCACATAAAACCACTTCCTTACAGCTTCCCATCCTTTTACTCCAGTTGGTTTTAGCCGCCCTCACCATTGCTTCTTGATGTCACTTCTGAAGAGCAGGGGGAGTAAATCATGGGGCTGAGGGAAGATGGGAGAAAAAAGCTGGTACCAGCAGCACATGCTCAGGGTCAGGCTTTCAATAAAACATCTGTTCCCTGGGAGTCACCTGAAGCTATGATCCACATGAAAACACAAAAAGCAAGTGAAAACTGATAAGACACTAATATATTTGGGCTTCCCTGTGTTACATGTTCTAAAAAGAAAAGATAAGAAAGCGGACCGTAGATGTTCCTGCCTTTCAAATGCACAGAGAGCAGAGCCACAAGTAGAAACTGCAGTATTTATGGGAGACAGAAGAACATCCCTTTCATCTCCGGCGTTTGAAATTTTCTTTCAGCGTTACCTGTGGGACAATGGTACACAGAGCTCGCCTGCATACACTGTATAATTCACACAACAGAAACTACATTAAAAGAATGTTGTGCTTAGAAATCAAACCCACTAGAACAAGCCAAGAAATGCTTTAGAGTGAAAGACCTAAGCAACTACTGGATGCACAGCAAAGGAACCTCCAAGTGAAAATACCATTGTGCCTAGGCAGTCATGATGGGATTCAGAATGACAAATTCCTGACATACTTTTGGGATGTCACCTGGCTTATACATCTCTACCCCGATATAACACGAATTCTGATATAACACGGTAAAGCAGTGCTCCGGGGAGGGGGGTGGCGCAGGGGTGCGCACTCCGGTGGATCAAAGCAAGTTTGATATAACACAGTTTCACCTATAATGCGGTAAGATTTTTTGGCTCCTGAGGATAGCGTTATATCGAGGTAGAGGTGTATCTCCCTTGAACCCAGTATAGATACCCTGTCCTCTTTGCTCCATGTAAACAGCATCCTCCTTTGTATGTGATATAGGCTCAGGGCTTGATTTTCAAATGTACTTCTACAGTTACTGTGATTACACACACAGTTGGGTATTTGTAAACATAAATGTTCATTTACTTGTCACACTGGACATTTGCATTCATAAATATCCAGTTTGCATGTATAATCTAAATAAATGTGTGTGAAAATTAGGCACACAATTGTACATACACAGGGACCTGATATTCAGATGTGGTGTGAGGGAGTGAGACACCCACTGAAATCAACGGAGTTGCACCCATTTACAGTAAGTCTAAATTTGACACTCAATGTTCTTTCTGCTAGGGGCAAAAGTTCAAACCTGGCACACCTACAAAAATGCACATGCATCCACTGCCCTTCAATGTAATGGGTACACTGGAAAAATGTGCATTGCACCCTCCACACTGCAAAAAACTTCACTCACGTGGTTGTGCAAACTGAATTCTGCAGGTCCAAGCTGAGGATTTGCACAACTCTTTGCATATGTACATTGTTGCTGGAATAGATGCATGTGAATTTTTGCAGATGCTCGTTTTCCACCCAGGTTCAAGAATTGGCTCTTAGGATTCTCTTATTCTGTGAAGCATCTTGCATTTCCTATTTCATAATATATTTTTTCAGAAATGTTTGCTGTGCCCAGGAAAGGTATCAGATTGATGGACCTGGAGACTGATATTGTCTATCCACAGAAGAGGTGCAGCCTCAGCAGTAGCAGTGTTGGTTTCCCCTACACTCTAGCCCATATGCCTCAACCCTGAATTATAGGAACTAACCCTAGAGACAAGAGAATAGTTCAGTGTCTGTGCCATATTCAGTATTTGGCCTCTGCTGAGATGACCAAGGCATTGTTATAACTACCATTTTTGGTGATGGATTTTTGTGAGATCAATGCCCATCCTAAGGGAACTGCATAAGGATAACTAAACTCATTTCATATAAACTTGGCTGAATTTGACCTGACAATCTGGACGAAAGACTGTGTCCCATCTCCAGTTCCCCTGGATAATGTCACAGTATAATAATTTAAATAAACTGTCAAGAGTTGTCCTGCATTGGCTGAGGGATTGGGGGAACAGACTATGGGTAAAATCCTGGGTATACTGGAGTCAGTGGAGTTTTGCCATTGACTTCAAAGGGGCCAGGATTTCAGCCTACCAGATCTTCTCCAGATGAAATTGCTGTGTTCTTTTGTTGAAGACTGCCATGTTAAATATTCCTTCAGTAGCTCTGAGAACAAGGACAAAAAATGTACAAGGTCTGAAGCAGAAGATGATATTTAAAGTTTGATATCTCAGCTGTTTCAAAATAGGTTTGTTCTTTCCCAAACGCCAAAACAGATTAGTCCATAAACATTACCGTATCATGGAATAAGTGCCTGCAATTTTTTCCCCCTCCAAAAATAAAATAAAACCCCAACAACCCTCTTTTTAAGTAATACAGTAGGAACATATAAAAGCAACTGAAAAAAATCATAACTTCTGTTGCTTGGTTGGTTTTTGTCCTCTACATTATCTAACCGCTAGATGGTTATGGCTTAGCCGTAGGGAACTGGTGTTGGGGTATGGAGTTATATAGCACTTGGGCAGGAGTTCAAGTCCAGTTTAGTTCAGTTAGGGCTGAAAGCTGTTATGATGTGAAGGCTGTTCAGTTGCCAGCATGACAGGAGTCTGCAGTCTGTCTGTCTTAAGCATTTCTATAGTGCCCACAAGCTTAGCTTCAGATCACTGGGGGGTCTCAGTCCAGTTTCTAGTCTGTCCTTCCCCTAAAACCAAGGGAAGGTATATGGGGTACAGGGGAGGGGCAGAGAAGCTGAGGACCAAATGAGCTGTGGAAACTGTTCTTTTCCCATTTCTGGTTAGGACTGAGGGCTGTTGATGGGAGAAGTTTGTACTGGTTTTTTTTCCTGAGCTGTACCTGGTCTATGGTTAAATTATAGTATCTCTGTCACCAGGGCTCTCAAGCTTTCATGAGCAATAGATTGGTGAACCATACAAAATGCAAACAAGCTGCACACATGCTTGAGGCCAGATTTAGCAGGAAACATCCTAGACTGAATTTTTACACCTGAGTCCTAAAGCCCTGAAAATAGAAGAGTCTATTTGGGATGTCAGCACAGTTCCTTTTGCAATGGACTGGTGGGTGCTGGGAATCCAGGCAGACACTGGAATGGCTGGCTGTTCATCAGGACTCTCTTCTTCTCACTGACCTGTCTCTTCCTGATTGATCTCCCCCCACCCTTTTTTTCCCCTTTCCTATTTATTATCATGGCCCAGCCCTCCTTCTTACTCCTCCCCCCGCCTCTCC